ACTGAAAGAAATCAATGGCAGTGTATAAACACTGTATTTAGAAATGAGTGCGTGTGAGCACGGTTGGCATTTTGGGTACATTCCTCCATTGTTCCCTCCTTTGTAGCTCCATCCTCATCTTTCCTGCTTCATCTTCCTCACTCTCACTCTGTTTCTGTCCACATCTTGTGTGTGTGTGTGTGTGCGTGTGGTGGTAGTAGGGGGGATTTATGGTGACTGAAGCAGTTTGCACCAGGCACCAACTTTACTGGTGCTGAGAGTGGCAGAGAACAGGAGAGAAAAACAGAGCGAGCAGCGGGGAAATCCATTCACGGCGAAGAGAGAAGAAAAATGGGATATGCACCGTCTGCCCTTAGATACACTGCCCAGTTGAAACCAGTAGGACTGGTTATCACAGGAGAGTGCTGCAGTGGATGAGCAGGCTGTTTGTGAAGTTAAAAGGCTTCCCTGGATTTTCTATTACCTCTTGAGGCTGTAGGGAGAGTTTTATGCCTGGTCGGTGAGAATAAATGGATTTAGATAAGAGAGTAGACATGAAGTGAGTTAGGAATTTGACCACATAGGGACACAAGAAAGCACATTTTCTACAGGAAAATGTTTTTCCTCGAAGCCCGTTTGAATTAAGCGTGTGTGTGTGAACTAGGAGATGAGCTGCACATTTTTAAAAGTCAGGGTGAGATAGGACATTTCTAGGATTGAAGAGCAGAGGCAATAGACCAGTGCCTGCCAAGACAGTGCAGTTTAGGGAAAAATACAATGGCAAGGGAGTCATGTTTGCATGCTGCAGCAAACACCGATGGGTGCTGGTATCACAGGCGGTGCACTCTGGAACAATGTTGAGAAGGAAGGATGCTCTTATCTGTGTATTATGTATCTAATGGTGTGCAATAGATCCAAATATCTGCTCACACAAAGGGTGTTGTATGTTTCCTTTGTCACACTATCCCACGTCGTTTTCTGAATGTCTAATCTGTGTGTTGTACACAGGGGGGCGGGGAAGGATTTACAATATATAGCAACCACATTAGAATTCACTGTGCCCCTCATGAGACAGATGCTCTCACTCTCTGCCCGTTTATCAAACAGACACACACTGATGCACAATAACATACAGCCTCTGCCATCAACTTCGTGATGTTAAATCAAGAGCAGAATTATTGAGTTCCTTAACAAATCATAACCAGCTGACTGAACACGGTGCTCATGGCAATGTTGTCCCCTGTAGTCTCGATGAATGTTGAGTCTCCTTGTGTGTGTCAAGCATCTATCAGCTGTCAGCCGGTGCCCTCTGCATTCTCCCCTCCCTTCTTCCCTGTGTTTCTCTATCTACCTTTCCCACTTTTTTCTTTAGTGTCTGACCAATTCATCCCTTTCTCTTCCTGTTCTTGCTGTTCTTTTGTGCAGTACCACAGCACTTCTCCTGCACACATGTTGCCTCTTGTGCCCAGACTTTCAATCAGATTTAAGTTTAATTTGGATGGACAGACTATATTTCTCTTCCCTCATCACTGCAGCTTTACCCCGTGTCACTGCATCCACGTATGTTTTAACAACAGACAGACACAGAGGAAAAATCCAATTCCACTATTAAGAGTGGTGTATAGAGGATTTGGCATTTCATTTCTTTAAGGACTAGATTTTCAGAAGGTTGAAGCTTTCAGAGGCCAGTGGGCAAAAAGCCTGCATCCAACCCTTTACTTGAAAATAAAATGGTAGAAATCATTATATTACCTAGAATCCACATTATAGAAATCATTATATTACCTAGAATCCATCAGGTAACGCTGTGATCAGTTGTGGTTAACACACACACAAATGCACACTTTCAATGATTCTCATCCCCTGGTCTTCTTCAGCTGCTGATGCTTGTGTCAGCAGATCTCAGTGGGCAGGATGTTAGCCGGAATGATGCTGTTTAATACGAATGCCGGTATTGGATTCTCGATTTTAATTTGCATTGTCATGTCTCTGATGTTGTCTCGTTTGCTCGGTCTTAATAAAGAATTGCTGTGATCCACATTTCACTTGTGATCACAGTAATGATGTAATATGGGTGAAACTGCTGATAGTGGTTTATGGCTCAAATAAATATTACTACACTGTGACTGGCACGGTAAAAATCAAAGCAGCATGATCCTCTAGAAATGAACACAAGTACAGACACATGCAGTATGGGGCATTTTGCTAATACTTGCTTTTCAGACGAAAGAAAAACATTAAGTTCTTCTTAATTGCTGAGTAAATTCATTTCATGATCAGTGAATATTTGTCTTTTTAATTATGTAGAACAATGATGTGTTGCTGGACTTTTATAAGTGTAGTAAGTCACTGGATGCAGTGCTTTGCCGTGATTTCAGGAGAATTTAAACAATGCAATCATGGCTTCCTGTTTCTTATTGCCTAATTTTAAGACTCCCGTCAACAGTGTCCTTCATAACCCGTGTTTCATTTGCATTTAACTTTATTTCTACATGTGTACGAGCACGTGTGAGGACTAAAATATGCGTGTTGCCATCTATGTGCGGCACACCTGTGTGCATGATATCCTCTACCTCTTTCAGGTGTTCTCTCAGTCCTTCACAGCCTCCTATGCTATCTACAATGTGGCTAATGGGTAGGTGGAATCATGAATGCTAATGCATGGGCTGCACTGGGCATGAGCATTACCAATGCAAGCAGACCTACGGATTGAAAAACTTCCCCCAAAGTGTGTCTCATCGAATCAGAGGTTTATGTTTCTGTCAGACATTGCATTCATTTGTCAGTGCTCCAACGCAAGGTTTCTACTGAACTTCAGATTTCACTGCCTGAGATTCATATTCAGTATTAACGTGGCAGCTGTGGATCATCCCTGGAACAACTGACGAGAAAAGGATTTCAAGAACACCTATGGCACTCATCATTGCCTGAGTATGCCTTAGAGGAAATGTTTGCCTGTTGTGAGGAAGAGAAAAGTGTGTCTAGAAATATGGAAGAAGAAATGTTGCACCTTTGCATGAGCCAGTCCCCTTCTGTGTTTCCTTTTCCATCTCTGCATCTTGCTCTTTTGTCCTCACAGTGCAGTAGCTCTCTCAAGGCCAGGGCATGGATGGACCTCACAGGGGCTTTAAACAGGACAGTTGTCCCTTGCTGAGGGTTTATGTCTGAGCTTTTGTGTGTGTTCCAGGGATTGGCAGGAGATTATCCCTCCAGAGATGGAGAAGGCGGTGCTGCAGTACGCCTCCTGGGGGCCCCAGGGGAACCAGCTGGTAAGCCCCATGCTTGCTCATTTACCTAATGAATTTGTTGTCATGTGCATCAACCTTTGCTGTATATGTCCTGCGTACGATTGGAGCTTCCATTTGACATAATTTTCATAACATCAGTGGTACTTTTCAGAGGGGTTACTGTGGTTGCATTGGTGTAATGTGGTTGTTTTACACTCACAGTGTAATGCATCTACAGTACCTTCCCTGTAATGTATTTGGCTTCTGCTGCTATGTCAGAGCTCATCTGCAGCATATTAGCTGGCAAGCAAAGATGTATTGGCTCTCACCCGTGTATGTGTGTTGGCCGATGATTCATTCGTGCTTGGACGGTGTCTGACACTCAGTTCAGACAGCCGGAGATGAAGCCTGCAATCAAACAGCCTTTGATAATGGACTGGCACTTCTGTCTGTGCTGCTCATGCCAGGCCTATGTGTTTGATGGAGATATCTACTACAAGGCGAGTGTGACCAGCACGCCCCTGCGTCTTACAACCGCTGACCAGGAGCAGAATGTGGTGAACGGCATCTCTGATTGGTCTTATGAAGGTAAGATTTATTTTATTTCTCACTGAAAAATATGCAAAACCAAGATGACAGCAATAATCATGAAATACAGAACTGTGTTTTGAGTTTGACAATGAAAACTTTGAATGTCTTTTAAAACAGAGGAGCTACTCTTGTCATACGTTTCCCACTGGTGGTCTATGGATGGCGCCCGGCTGGCGTACCTCAGCATCAACAACTCTGGCACACCTGTGATGGAAATACCTCATTTCTTAGGTGGTCTCTACCCCTCCAATGTCTTCTTTCGCTACCCCAAGGTGAAAACAATTTAAAAACAGTCTACAAGCATGCTAGTGCCTCTGTGAGGATGTACTGAGGTACAGCGGTGCTTTGAGCCTAACGCCAATGTCAGGATGCTAACATACTCAGTGACAACATGCTATAAAATGTTCACCATCTTATCCTAGTGTGTCAGCATGCTAATGTTGGCTAATTAGCACCAAACAAGCACATCAGAGGCTGATGAGAATATTATTAGTTTTGCAAGCAAATGGTCATAAGTTGACATTTTGACCTGATGATGGATCAGCTGACAAGTCAGTATATATCCAGTATATGTTGAGATGGTGGTGGACTGACAGACCTGACATTACCACTACTGTAATGTTGCCAAAACTTGCTTTTAATGTTTAAATCTGATATTGTGTCTTTTGTTTGTCGTGACAGGCTGGTTCCAATATCCCATCAGTGAGTCTTTTTGTAGTGAATCTTTATGGTCCAGCCCACACTCTGGAGATGATGCCTCCTGACTCTCTTAGGGCCAGGTAGTACATCTTTGTGAAAGTAAAAACAGCATCAAATCTATAAACACTTCAGGCATCGCCTGTCAGAAATGATTACACATCTAAGTTCCTCTCCCCTTCACTGCTTCTTCTTTTTTGTTTGTTTTGTTCCATCACACCACTTTCCAATCTTTTCTTCATGTACGTTTCTGCATCGCCTCTTCAGAGACCGTTACATCTCCATGGTGACGTGGATCAGCAGTACCCGGCTCGCGGTTCGTTGGCTAAATCGTGCCCAGAACCGATCAGTACTCTGCGTGTGCGAGGCCACCACAGGGGCATGCTCTGAGGTCAGCAGCTCCGCATTAGTAATCCAAACGACTCCCGCTGAGAAACCTAGCTTTAATAGAATTCTGCTTCTTTTACACAGCGTTGGGAGTTAGGGTTTTCACAACTCCACTGACTGGATTAATATTTAAGGTCAATCAATAATCATCTGCTGCATTTTATTCCTTCTTCCCTTTCTGTAAATCCTCACAGGTTTAAGTTGATCCATTGCCAATTATTTAATAATTTAACAAATCTTATTAAAATCCACTTCATATGTTGATGCAAATGCATTTGAAATGGTGCAATCAATGCATTTCTCTATATCCACAGAAACACAAAATGACTATGGACATAATGCGAAACCAACGGCAGGTTTGTATTGCTTGTGCTTCACGAAGCTGGTTTACACCTGCTTATTTTTACTGTCTTTTCCTTGACTGAATGCTCTTCTACAACAGGATTCACCATTGTTTTCAGCTGACGGCTCAGTGTTTTACACCATCCTGCCAGCCAAGCAAGGCGCTCGTGGAGAGTTTCACCACATTGCCGGTGTTTCAGCCCAGGTCAGTTTTAGGAGAATTAACATTTACCCGTCATCACTTGGTCATCACCATTTCAACAAGAGTCACATCAAACTGAGCAATTACAGATCTCACTGGCACAGAGCTTAAAGTCTGCCGTCTCCTCCGCTGTGTCATTATCAAAGCCATTTGATTGCATTTATTTTATCCTAATTACACAAACCATTACTAAAACACCACCTTTATCAAAGGAGTCATTTCACTGATGAGCATTTTCTCAGTCCTTTGCCTTTTACAGCTTTGAGAAAATTCAGTTTATTTCACTTTAACTATGTATTCATCTCATTGCAGGGCTATTAAAAATGTTTAAATGTGCTTTTGTGAAGAAACAAACTATACAGGAGGGGATTATGTCTGTTTCTCATTAAAGAATAAAGAGACTGGCATTAGAAAGCATGTGTGTTTATGCTGCAGTTGCTGGGGAATGAAGTCTCACACATTTGGGTTCTTGTATTCTATTAGTAGCTCAGGAGAAACTGTTTTCTCTCCTGTGTCTCACTGACTTCAGTCCAAACATCACAATAAGCAAAATAATTAAAGAGAACCTTTTCTGGAGTGTCTGAATTATTAAGGCACATAACACATAAACAAGAGAAGCAAGGGCCTCAGTTAGATTTTTGGCCAGAGGACCTTCAGATCTCTGTCTGTCTCTGGTCTACTATTCTATTCCTATTTCTGAATAGACAGTCAATTCTCAAAAAAGTTTTGAAAAAGTACTTTTTCTGAACACCATCCACCACCTTTCTTTAGTTTAATTGTGTGAACTATGATGATCTTTTTTCCTCCCGCTGACACACACATTCTGTATCGCTACACCTATTTTTATTCTGTCTGCTACTTTGACATTTCTCTGTGTCTCTGTGTAACACAGCCTGCCATCCCTTCTGTTCCTCCGCGTTTCTTGACATCAGGAAGCTGGGACGTCATCTTGCTCTGCGCCCTAGACGAGAAGGCTGGAAAGATGTATGTTGGAGCCACACTGTGTGGTGAATCACTCGTCAGCGCCTTCATCAACTTGTTGCTCCTTAGTTTGAATGTACAAGTGACGGCGGCGGAGGGGGGGGGATCATCAGAATAGCTTCCTGTGACCTGAGAGCAAATTTTAGACGTGTCAGCTGCTGGAGAGCAGCGGCTGTCCTTTGTTTGGCCAGGCTCTGGGTGAATGCTATGCATAAGATTGTCTATTATATAAAAGTAAAAAGGCCATTTTTACATGTAGGATTGATTTTAGTTTGTTGTAGTGCTTTTCCTTAAATGTTTCCTTACACTTGACCAGAGTAGATTATTACTTAAATCCATCTTTAACCAGTCAAGAAGAGACTGACGGAGGCGTGGGCACGAGATAATCAAAAGCAATTGTATGGCAGCGTATTGCTGCCACTGAGATAAAAAAAACAAAGTTACTCAGTGCAAGGAGATAGTTTTCTCATTAATATGAAATAAATTTCTTGTTGTAACAGACTTTCTTGTTAAAGTGAAAGAATTTCCTCGTTGAACTGAGATATTTTTCTTGTTATAATGACAAATTGTTTTTTGTTATAACAATATTTTTTAGCTAAAATAAGAAACTGTCAAAACAAGGCAACTTTCTTTGTTATAAGAAGAATGAGTCTCATTTTATGAAAGCTTTACCGTTACAGTGTGAAAATTTCTAATTATGAAGAGGTAGTTTCTTCTTAAAATGAGAAATTATTTGAGATACATAGTATATTTCTGTGCCTCGGTGTTAGCAGTACCAGTGGCTGGAGGCATTATGTTCTTGGGTTGTCCGTCTCCTTGTCCGGCCCATGCTTTTGAATGTGATCGCTTAGAAACGTCTTGAGGAAATTGTTTCAAATTTGGAACAAATGTCAACTTGGACCTACAGATGATCTTATTAGATTTTGGTTGACCTTTGTAACCTCATGTTGATCGTGTCCTCATGAATGCCTATATGAGGAATACCTTGATACCTTGATTGTTTTTTCCCCAAATTTGGCACATTAGTTTTCACTGCATATAGTATATTATATGAGTCTGGACATATGCATGTGAAGTTACCGGTTAGTGGAGGCGAACAACCACGAGGCAGTATCTCTAGTTTTTCTTGTTGTGGCTGTAATACACTGCTGTACAGTTGTACTGTACTTCTAGACAGCTGTTTTCAGCCCCAGAGCCCACAGGTGGATTCTATTCTGCTATTCTATTGCTTCCATACAATTAATTCTGTTTCAGAATACTTAAATAGACATAATGTGATGTACATCCACTGCTCATATGTTTCAAATCACTATCAGCAATTGTACATTACAAATTAAGGGTGATGCTAAGCTGACTATTAGTATGCTGAAGTATGCAAATATGTGCAGATAGATTCTTGTCATAAATAAATGATATTCCCAGAATAATTATGATGAAGTTTAGATACCCAAAGCTAATCTGCAGTTCTTTAGAAGTGTTTATGAATCATTTCATTTATTCATCAGCTATTTCCTGAGCACAGAGGAATCTCGACAAAGCAGACACCTTTATAGGTAAGCACTCCTCCCGGTGAAAAACGGCCTAACAATGCTATCAACAGATATAGAAGATGGTGACTGTGGAGTTTTTATTTTTCCTATGTGTTGTGTTTTCAATTTTTAAACAAACTCTTTACTAATTTTTGGGATCTGCATACTTTTCATTCACTCGGGGGGATTTTAATCCATAGACCTTTGCATTGTAGCATGCAGCGATGCATGTCTCTCAGTGGTGCTTTGAGATAAAGACTAACGTCAGCATGCCAACATGCTCATGATCACAATGTGATGTTTAGAAGTTACGTATAATGTTTGCCATGTTTGCCATTTTACTTTGTCATATTAGCATTCTAATATTAGCTAAACACAAAATAGCTTCCAGCTGAGGCTGAAGGGTCATTAGTGTCATAGAGATTTGGTCCAAAGTATTGGGAAAATTAAAAATGCAACCTGATGATCCTGCAAAACAAAAAATCAGAGGATCACCGTATTTGTCAATATTAAAGATGATGTAGAGGAACAGTCAGTAGCTTTACCCTTTGGGAACTGTGAATGTCTGTACAAAATATCAGTTTAGACCAAAATGGTGGATGGACTAACTGTCTGCTGTCTGCATATTGCACACCAGTGTGTTGATATATGAGTATTTTTTCATTTTCAGTACATGCTGCAGGCCAATGGCTGAATATACACATCTATAAGAGAAAAAAAAACAATCACTGGAGCGCTGCTGAGGCCTGAGTCACTATAAACACATTTCTATTCCCTGATCTACCTCCTAGTTTTCATATCTTTTTATTATATTAGCTTTCAGCTTCAGGAGACAGCTCAGTGTTATGGAGGAGGGAAGATGGCTTGTCTGAAGTTGGTCTGTGATTAATCCTGTATGAAATTTGAAAGCAGTTGAGTGGAGAAGGACATTTAGACACTTGACATAATCTAACACAGCAATCTGTGTAACAGCCCTTATGTCTAACCTTACTGAACTCCACTGATTCTGAAAAGTCACCTGCCTGTATAGTTTGTTTCTAGATACTGACACTTTTTCTTAACATTTTAGCAATAAATTGACCCTCCTCTGGAGCAAGTCCACCTGCTTTAGGCTGTCCTGTTCTTTCAAGTGTGGTCAGTAACCCTGTTCTACTATTTCAAAGTGTGGACCTGGATGGGGTGTTTCAGCGTCAGTGCATCTCCTGTAACCTCATAGATGGATGTCGCTTCTTTAAAGCTGAATTCAGCCACAATCAAACCCACTTCATCCTCTACTGCTTAGGTAAATGAGACTCACACATAGACACTCACAGTGAATATGAAAGATGCTCAGACAGTGGTTTTATAATGATGTCTTTTTTAAAAAAATCCCCAGGCCCAGGAATCCCTAAAGTGACAGTTCACAGTACAAAGGACCCCTCCAGTGAGTGCTAACATCTGCTTGTCTAATATGTACACACACAAACACACACACAGACTGTTTGCAGCTTCCCACAGCAGCCCACAGAGGGTGGCATATTCAAGCAGACTGCAGGTTCCTTAATTTCATGCCTGTGAACACTGCCCTCTGTCTGCAGCTCTCAGTTAGAGCTATCTATATGGAGTTGAACCACAACCTGATGAGCTACTATGTCTGTTTTGATGTTTAGGATGACAAATATAACACAGCTGTCTTTTTTTCCTCTAGGATATGTTGTCTTGGAGGATAACAGCCCTCTGTCTAAAGCCCTGGAGGATAAGAGCCTCCCTGAGACTCTGTTCAGGACCTTTCCTGCAGATAACCACGGTATAACAGGGAAATCGTTGACAAGATTTTTTGTTTTGCTCATGTTTTGTGAAGTAGCTAAACAAAATAAACAGAAGGATTATGGTTAGAAATGTTTGGAATTTGGTCAGCTAACATAGTTCAACCCTTGTTTGCTGTTTTTAGACCTGCACCTGAAACTCTCTCTACCTCAGGGTTACGAGGCAGGCCTGCTCCCTCTCCTCATCATTGTGTATGCATCAAAGAGCAAACACGCTAAGTGACAGCTCACGCCTTTTTTCATTACACCTGATTGTCAACCTAATCCCTAGCCCTTTTTATTACCCTTTCAACCCTAACAACTCTCCTCGTACTAGATGATCCTGTTTGTCTTGTCGTTCAGAGATGGTGTTCCAGGCAGTCAGTCTGTGACGGAGGAATTTGCCCTCGACTGGCTTCAGGTCCTCTCCAGCACACACAGTGTAGCCTTGGCCTGGGTGGACGGCAGGAGCGGGGTTGGTCGTGGACAGAAGACCACAGCCGTAGATCCACGCAAGCTTGGCTCACTTAGAGTCAAAGATTATCTGGGAGTTATAGAGTCAGTGTAGTTATGCAACAGCATACATATCTATGACTGCCATGAGAGAATAAAGTCTGTGAACAGATCAACTAACAGGCTTCTATGATGTGTCCCCAGGTTATTGATGCAACTACCATACATTGATGATCGTCGAATGGCCCTCTATGGAAAGGTTACTGCATTTTTTTATATTTGGAAACTCTATTCCTTCCTATGGAAACCACCAAAGCTATTGAAAGCTTTGTTTCTTTTAGCACTTTTCTGTTTCCTTCTGCAGGCATTTGGTGGTTATTTAACTCTCAAGATGTTAACTGCAACAGATAAGCTCTTTCAGTGCACAGCGGCTGTGGCACCGATAACTGACTTCAGGCTTTATAGTGAGTTGCAACCAAGTCATTGACCATTCATACAGTGAGGCCATGGAAATGTTGACAAAACAGAGACACAGTTCATGAGTGAAAGTCAGTCTTATGTTTTCAGGTGCTGCATTTTCTGAGAGATATCTAGGCCTTCCAACAAAGGAGGAGCACGCGTACTCGGTGAGCCTCTTAGACGAATTCTCTGAACTCAGCTATTCTGCTGTGAATAGTTTTCATAAGGTAAACCTGAAAATTGTTGTGGACATACACTCAGCTGAAAGTTGATTATCCAAAACAAATGCCATCTTAACAAATCAGCCCTCCAATAAATTCTGTCTTCGTGGTGGTTATATTGTTCAGGTTTTGTTTAGTTTAAGTCGTTTTGGCAGTTTTAGTTTGTGATGTTGTTGAATTGTATTGTATTGTACTGAGAGGTGTTTCTAATGCTTTGCTCATCTTTTTAAATTGATAAGGGCAGACTAGATAATAGAAACATCTCTTAGTGTAATGTAATTGAGATGCACAACAGTCTGCAGCCTACTAGATGGCCATAAACTCTATCAACACCTCTCTAAAACAGCTTCAACAAAAGTGGAGCATTAAGTTTTTGCAGGTGGGGTTTATTGTGGGGTTGTTGTGTTAGACAGCATTAGTTTTAGTTTGGTGTACCTACTGTAATAAAGCATTCATATTGCTATGCTTTTTCTTTTCAGATTGCCTCTTTGCTGGAGGAGGCCAACAAGCTGAAAGATGAGAATTTCCTTATTCTACATGGAACTGCAGATGGTAGGAGTTTGTTGAATTGTCAGCTGAATTTTAGGGATGATTTTTGTTTGTTTGATTTTTTGTTTAAATTTCAATGTATGTTTACATTTTGCCAAAGCGCGGGTACACTTCCAGCACAGTGCAGAGCTCCTGAGCCGACTGGTGAAAGTGGAAGCCAACTATTCACTACAGCTGTACCCAGACGAGGGCCACACCCTGAGAGAGCCGCGCAGCATTCAGCACTTCCAGCGGACAGTTGTGAACTACCTCCAGACCTGCCTGAAGCACAGTGTCCTCCCAGATCCCATAGAGGATGAGGAGGAGGAAGATGACTGAGCTCAGAGTTCCTCTTCCCTTCTTCTTGGAGGGACTGTCTTAGGACGGTTTGCCATCTTATGCATTACCTTGGATCAGATTACCAGGCACAAGAGCACAGGAGTGGGGACCAAACACGTCAGATAACCTCCTACAGCTGTATTTACTGTACACCTTGTTGCGCACAATTATTTCCGCTGTTGTACTCTGTTTGTTTACAAAATTCACTTGAGCTGACAAGGACTAGAAGGCTTCTCATGCATGTCATAATGGCTGCATGATGTGGAATAGTTTACATTGCATCTTTGGTCTTTTGCAGGTTTTAAATCTCATCCTTAATGGTCAAAAGTGCAAAAATTGCCAGTAGCCGGGAACAGACTAGAAGACTTAAAATCTTTATTGATTTTCCTTAAAGATATCTGACTCAATCAGCTCAGACTAGAAGATCTTATTTAGAGTTTTGCAGATTCCAGTCATATAAAGTCCAATAATTGGGACTGCTTTTATTCAAGAGATTTGAGTCCTTAACTCTACAATAACATGCAAACTGGCCCTACTGATCACTGACTGGGTCATGATGTCACTGTAATTGTTATTTTAGGTATTTACTACAGTGTGTTCCTGGTTTAAATACAATTTGATTAAGTAGATGGATTGTTCTGAATGTGCCAAATACATGTTGTGGACTTTATCCAGTGATTTTATTAGTATTACTTGCATTATGTGATTAAGAATGAGTATGCAACTGAGACTATTTACACCCAAAGCGCTGATTTCAACAAATATTGCAAGAAAGTCTATATAGGTCTGTCTGTGTACTGTATTTGGAAGTACAATATGTTTCTGTTTTGATACACCATGGCATTTTAATCATGTCTTGTGTATTGCAGAATTAAACTTTTTCTTTGGACAAACTGTTAAGCCATATTACAGCTCACAAAGGTGGTGGGCTTGACCATCAAACTATAACCCAAACCATGGTAATGGTAAAGTGCAAGCAGTTGGTTTGAAAACAAAAGGCCTCGCATAAAAATGTATTTGGTTTCCTTCACTAGCCACCATGGCTGTAGTCTAGACCCACTGGGGGTTGTACTGTAACTATGAAACCTAACGCACACTAACACTTGGTAAATGCTGACTTTGATTTCTGATATTAATTGATATTAGGTTTTTCGCTAACCCCAACCCTAACACACACTGATTATTTGTGAGCAGTATATGCTGATACTAAATGCCAAATATTAGCCACTGCAGACTTAAATAATATATTCTGTGGATGAAGACTATGATATTTTGCAAAAAAAAAAAAAAAAAAAAATCAGACATGATGCTATAATCAAATTCTTGTTATCAAGTTACAAATACTTAATTGTAATATTCTTCATTGACCTTGATGCCACAATTTGAAATTTCAAGAGCAGAGCTCAGAGTCCACTGTATTGGAACTACATGCAGGATGGCCCTTTAACTATACCAGTGCAGAGGGAGTACTTGTAGGCTACGTAAACCTGATAAATAACGATTAATGTAAGGGAGAATCCTTGTTTAAATATCTGCACAAGACTTGGAACAAGTGCTCCATAAGCTGTAATCAAGTATCACAATAGTTCTGTTTCTACACAGTGAACATTTTGTAAAGCTTCTTGAACAGGCTCTGGTCTCGTCACATATAAAGTGTGTGTTTGTACCCAATCAGCGTACTCCCAACGGTGCTGTAACCAATCAGATCTCTCTATGCTATCGTACCCATCAATCCCATTGTCCAATCAACGATGTTGCTACGTGAGGGCCGAATCCCTCTTCAACCTTCTGCTTTCTGGAGGGGCACCTTCAACTAGCTCTGGCAGTGGCTTCCTTAGTTGTAAAGAATAAGTGGAAATAACACTTTTATACAGACACGATGTCTTTTTTGACTGTTAGCAGGCTAGCACCCAAACTCCTCAATTCAAAGGTAAGAGGACGAGTAACGGACTCGATGTCACTTTCTGAGTCTGTTTCATTGGAAGCTAACATTAGGTTTCGCAGCTAACGATATAGCTTATAGGCAAGCTAGTTAACATTAGCTAGCTTAGCCCTGTCAACTACATAGTAAAATAGACCAGAAGTGTACATAATAAATGCTTGCACGGGCTTTAATAGTCATTATTACACCTCGTTGTTTTATATAATGTTGTTAAGATGTTTGAGTCGTACTGTTTGTGAACTTATGTCTGTTAGCTCACGTTAGCTTAAAGTACCGTTGCTCTTTATACTGGCCTGGTATGTTCACCGCCTTGGCATGTTTCTTTTACCAGCAGTGGCCAGACCATGTGAACTTTGTGTTACTGTGCGAGTCCGCCGATCCCCTCTCTTAGTTGTAAGAAAAGAATAAGTATTAATGATCACTTACAGATTCAGTGGTTGCTTTTAACTTCAACTTAAACTTTTTTCAGCACCCCCGTTGACCTTCATGCTAAGATTTCAGCCAGTTATCTAACGTCACATCATTTGATGAGGTCCCCCAAATATGTTTTTGTGTTTTTCAGGGTTTAAAAGTTAATTAACACTGTAAAGAAATGCGCTTTGGCGTGGAGTCAGACATCTAATGTCAGCGGGCAGATCTTAGCATTTTTTGGGTGCGATTAGAAAAAGGGAAGCGCTTTAAGAGTTAACTAAGTGGTAATGGCACCTGAAGGTTTAGTGTGCTTTTGCCCATACTCCACTGACCTCAGCCTACTTGCATTTAATGGCCCTCAGCTTACCAGCACTACTGTTTATTAACCCTCCTCCTATATGACTGGAGACTAAACAAGTTCTTTCTCTGGATTCTGCACAAACTGAGGGATATTGTGCCCTTGTTATCAGCCTTGTAGTTAGGAATGTGCGCAGCTAACCTGAGTTACACTCACCCTTTCCCTCTTATCAGTTGTAATCTTTGCTCTTATCTTTGATTTTATTTTTAAGCTTTTTTTTTTACATAACATTCTTTGACCATAAATCTGTGGCCTGTGTGATCTGTGACTAAAAACATGTGATCAGCATACTGAGAGAAAGGGCAGTGTAACTGTGAATGGCTCATGATGTTCAGTTTTTTTTAGAAGAAAAGGTTTATCCCTAGATTTCACTGGATTCAGTGCAGTGCAGAAAGTGGAAATGTGGATTCAACAAATACTCAGTACTTCTGTAGTTAATCTATCCAAATATTTGTTGACAAAAATAGCTTTGTTTGCTTTCAGTGATGGTTCTTCCTTTGTTCATGTTGTATGTTTAGTTTTGTTTACTTTAGGATGTTTAGTCACTGGTAAATCTGCCTGCGGTTTGAATGTTTTACCCCTCTGTGTAGTGTATGTAATGTTGCTGCAGGGTAGGTGGAAGTTGGAAGTGACTCAGTGAAACTGCTGCTCTATATTTAAGACCCTGTTCTGTTACATAATATCTCATAAGATCCCACCATTTGTTTCTATGGGTCTTATCAGTCTTTTACCCTCTCTGACCAGTTGTAAATATGGGAAGGGGATTCCTTTTGGCACAGAGCCAATCTCTCAGATCCCTCCTCACCCATTGATTATTTTAATAAGCTGACAGATGAGTCCTGCTTTTGTGTTGAACAGCAGCAGGCTGAATTCTCCCTTCTGTCACAGATCTTCTAGTAAGGTTACTGTCCTCTAAACACATTCATAATCAGGTCTAGTAGCGTTTAAATTTCTCCTGCACTTCTGCTTTGTCCAAGTTCCAGACAAATGTTTGCCTTCTCAATGTATATATGTTTTTTTAACCATAGCATAGTTCATTTCATTTAACCAACAGTTCTTAGCCTAAACATATTCAGTTTGCTGTAATGTAAGATAAGAAAAAGCAAGTGGAACCATCAAAAGTTTAGTGTTTATACTTAAATACTTTATTAAAGGGGAATAAACATCAAAAGAGTTATCTAATTATCTTTCAGCTGTCTAATCAGTAAAGCAACCAGTCATTGCAGCTCTAATTTCCAGACTTTTCCAGTCATGCAAAAATGAGCTATGAGGCATGAAAATCTAAAGTTGTGACTAGTTAGCCTAACTCACTACAGAGGTGAACATGGGATGCCTCGAATGGTAGACCTATATGATAACCACGAGTTAAATCTAAAGAATAAAACAGCAAGGCTTCAATGTATATTAGAAGTTGTGTCCTGCAGTGGCAAATGTTTATAATGTAGCTAAAGGAACTAGAGGTTGCATTAGAATAATGGAAAGCTGGAAATCGTGTGCATTAATCGGTCATATATTTTGACATTGTCGAATTGTGGTGTGATTGTGAGGCATTTTTATTTATAGCCCCACTGTGCTCTTTGATAGAAGTGGAGCAATATTTGTATGACTTGGAATGTAAACAGAATTTTGGCAGGGCAGGCCTCCGTGTGTCAGGTGAGGAATGTCCAGAAATACGCCTTACATGTACTGTACTTATTGCAGATGTTTGTAGTGATCTGCTCAGCAGTTTATTTCACTGTTAGTTTTGCCCAAAGTGGAGTAGAACAGACCCATCAGCCAACTCAGGACACCAGGGATATAAAGTGGAGAGAAGAGACAAGTTGGAAACTTTTTTTTTTTAAATGACAGTGTCCAGAGGACTTAAGGCAATGTGGAGGGGAGAAATTAAGTTTCTCTCCATTAAAGGAAGGAACAATTAATCATTTATATCCTTGATTAATTGTTAACGTTAAAGCCAATCATGTGCTGCAAGGTTAAGAGTCACAGGTCATTCTGAAGAAGAGTTGGAAAATGTTTTAGTCTGCTGATGTTTCTGACTCAGTCACCTTAAAGCTCATTGTCAGTTCACAGATGCTTTGACAGAAAGTACTGCAGTCTTGCATATCAACTGGGTTGGAAGGCCATTTAACTCTCAAACCTAGGAAGTCATAGCATTACTACATCACTGGTTAAAATAGTTTGAGCTTCTACAAGGTTATCTTGGTTCATACACAAGAAACTTCGGTACCCTACATAAGCTGCTGTAGCCGCTAAAGATTTTATTAGGGTTTGTCATTGTACTAATACTCAATTGTATTATTTCTTTATCTGTTCCACAGAATGCCACCTATTTCCTTGTGGCTGCTAGATATGCTAGCGCATCAACAACAGTAAGTAAACTCAGTTTACTCCAAGTTCATCTGTTTGTTTTAATTCTGTTTCAGGCTGTTTATTCTGTAGTGCAAGTGGGTGGTAGGTGGGACAAAGTAACATATTCTCCTGAATGTTAATGGAACACGCTGACAGTTGTCAAGCTACAGATCAATTTATTTTCCCTTGAAATGTTTACATAAAGCCTGTTTAGTTAACCCCAGTTCACATAAGAGGAACGTGTTTTATTTTAATGTTAGATGTCTGATCCAGGACTTTACTGATGAAATGTGTTGTTTACAGAATCTGAAGGATGTTCTGGCAGACCTCATCCCTAAAGAACAGACCAGGATCAAGAACTTCAAACAACAGTATGGCAAAACCAATATAGGACAGATTAGTGTTGACATGGTAAGTAACTCTTCAGATGTTGGACAAAATAAACTCATGTGTGTTAATGGATTCAAATACAGTATGAACCACTAACCAGTGAAAAACCAAGCCAAATTCCGCTATATTAATTTAGGAAAGAACATTTATGCCATCAGTCATGACGCAGATTAGACATGGCATGATGGCCTCCCCTGATCCACTCAGGCCTGTCCACCCTTGTTTACTGTGTCAGTTATCACTGTTTGGTCTTCTCCCTTACGTCACATTGTGAACCAGCCAACAGATATTTTAGCTGAGTCACTCAAACCTCTATTGCATGCTGCCAGTCTCCAATTTGTACTGCTCTAATATATGCTCACATGCATCACTGCATCATCCTCTTTTGTTTATCACCCACCTGTGGCTACCAGCCAGAGGTCACGCCTTTGACCTCTGCCTGGTGGCAATAGAAAATTTAGAAGAGTTTCACTTTCAGGAAAAAAGCATTCAGCTGTGGCCTGTCTTTTTCATGGAAATATGTTGTACTGTATATTTATTAGAACTCAGATTCTCTTATTACATCCATATCTTTGTATAACCCTGTGTTCTGTATGTTTTTATCAACAGGTCTATGGAGGTATGAGGGGAATGAAAGGTCTGGTATATGAGACCTCTGTGTTGGATCCTGAAGAGGTCAGTATTGGTGCTTGACTGATAAGTCAGCAAGACCATTTTATTGCCTGTTATTAGCTTATTGTAGATACTATATATCTGTATTGGTGTATGTGTCAGATTTATGTATGATGGTTATAAAGATATATGGCAGATAAGAACCAAGAAATTGCAGGATGCCAAACTGGGTTTGTGGTCAGTCGGTCGCCTGTCCACGGTTGGTCCTTCAGTTAGATCAGACATTTTGATTTCTATGATGAAACCCACATGGTATGTGTCTTAGTCCCAAATTAAGGAAAAACATTATTGGGGCCTGTAGCGTGATTGTTGTGTGAAATGTAAACACATAAACAAAATACTGTTGGCTGATATTGTTGGACTTCTAAAACAACATCAGTATTAGCCTCAGAATCCGTTGTGCTGTAGGTGTTCTCACAGTGGCTTTATAATTTGATCTCTCTTGGAGCCTTGCCTGCCTCAGGCCACTTACCATGATTACTTACATAATGAAGCTGAGAGTTTCCAGTGGCAGGCCACAGCATAGAGCGTCATAGTGAATCATCCAAATTTGCTCATGTAGCCAGCCTGCCAACACTCGCTGCTGGTGTATTTCAGGACAGCTTGATTGCACAGGGTGTCTTTTCCTCTCTCTTTGTTGATAACAGGGCATCCGTTTCCGGGGTTACAGTATTCCCGAATGTCAGAAGTTGCTGCCTAAAGCTCCAGGAGGTGAGGAGCCGCTGCCTGAGGGTCTGTTCTGGATGCTGGTTACAGGACAGGTGCCCACTGAGGAGCAGGTGCGTGGGAGAGGGATGCTAAATTATTAAATTAAATATTTATTAAAATGAAATATTTGTGAAGAATAATGCTGAAATTAAAGGTCAGTTGAATGTGACATACATTAGGGCTAAGATGATTACTGATGGAAAGGTGGGTCACAAGATGTTTGGCACCAATAAAGCACAGCGAATGACTTTTTAAAATATATATTACTTTAGAGCACCACCTGATATTTTTTATTGCTTTATAACTGAGAAACAAGTTTCATTCTGTACCTTTTAATTGGCATTTTATTACTGGCAGAATGTATTTAGGATAAACTTCCTTCTCTTCTGACTGTAACTTTGCACTGAAAGAATAGTTTTGCCACCTTTACCATTTGTTCTTTGATTTTATGAATTTTAATGCAGCTGACACAGAAGTCTCAGGAGGATAAGCCAGGCCCTAACAAAAAATATTGTACTTGTTCAAAGAACTGCTGTTGTACAGTGCATCATATTGGGCTTAACAGTAAAGTTACTACAGTGTGTCCAGTATGTGTGTGTGTCTGTAAACTTAGTGTAGAATGAGCAGAAAAGCAAGTCTTTCAGGTTACTCTTTTACACTGTGTGCTTCTGTTCCTCCAGGTGAACTGGGTGTCCAAAGAATGGGCAAAGAGAGCAGCACTTCCCTCTCACGTCGTCACCATGTTGGACAATTTCCCCACAAACCTGCACCCCATGTCTCAGTTCAGTGCTGCCATCACAGCTCTGAATAGTGAGAGCAGCTTTGTACAGGCGTACTCCGAGGGTGTCCACAAGTCCAAGTACTGGGAGGTGAGTTTATATCTATTTTTTGTCATCCTAAAACATACTCACACATGTTGGTACAGACATCCATGGCCCTACGATAAGGAATCCATTTACATCCAGCCAACACCTTTGTTTGTTGTGTATGAAGAGCATTTGCCTCAGAGAGCCATTAGCATCACTGCAGACTCTTGATCTGGTTTCACATGCCCTTTCCTCATCCTTTAACATTGGTCTTTTTAGTTTGTCTATGAAGACTCTATGGACTTGATTGCCAAGCTGCCTTGCATTGCTGCCAAGATTTACCGGAACCTGTATCGTGAAGGCAGTAGTATTGGAGCCATCGACTCCAACCTGGACTGGTCCCACAACTTCACCAACATGCTGGGCTACAGTGATCCCCAGTTCACTGAGCTAATGAGGCTTTACCTCACCATCCACAGGTGCTGCTTGAACACTTCCTCATAGATTATAATCCGTCTTTGATTTTAAAATGAATTTCTCAACAGTTTTTGAAGATATTTCCTTCATTTCTGTCACGCTCTGATCAGAGTCCTGCAGTTTTTATGTGAAGTAAATGTCCAGAATGTTTGAAGAACTGAACAGCACTGCAAACAGATAGTTATTTTTTTCTGAGCCCAAGGACTTAAGGTAGTAGTGTTTTTATTTATGGATTTTGATGTCAGAAAGGATCTAAAGGATAACATGGTGAAATGGAAACACTTCCATCCAACATAGGTTTAAGATGTTAAAACACGGGCTTTATAAAGGCATATAATATCCAGAATTTCATTAGGAATAAAACCATAAATCTTTAAAAATCTTCTGTCCAATCTGCTTAATTGAATGAATGGCCTGATATTAGGCTAATATAACACAGAATACTAATACAATGTACATAATGCCAAAATGGTAAATATTTTTCTGAATAGCCAGCTTGAAGTGTTTGAGCTTGCAGGGTACATTTTAGTGGCGTCCTCCCAAATGCAGTTGATTGTGTTGTGCAGTTCTCAGCTGTTCTACACGGACAACGGTCACAATACATACTGAACAGCGTAACTTTACAAAACCTGGAGTTTCCTTAGTCATTATACCTGTGCACCAGCTTTGTTGAGTTAACATGTTTTGTTTTATAAATGCTATTTTTTTGTGATGTTACAGTGATCATGAAGGAGGCAATGTCAGTGCCCACACCAGCCACTTGGTGGGTAGTGCCCTGTCTGACCCCTATCTGGCCTTCAGCGCTGCTATGAATGGTCTGGCTGGTCCTTTGCACGGCCTGGCCAATCAGGTGTGTACCAAGCACATCACCCCTTTTACTCTGTTTGCACATGTGCAAGTCTGAGCATTGCTGGCTTCAAATGTTGGTGAAAAGTAATGCGTTTGGCGCCTGAAAGGCATATTATCATGTTGCAGTAGGAAGAGCACGGATGTTAAAATACATTTAATGATAATTGACTTCCACTTCTCTGCTTTGGTTTCTTGGTCCTGCTGTTGTGCATGCAGGCTCACTGTCACAGTGTCATGGCTTATTGGACAACTGGATAGAGCAGAGCCATTGTTAATGTTAGTAACATCTGTGCTTTTTCTACTATGACAAGTTAAAGGCCTATGGAGTCAATTCTGTGTAGACTCTTCATGCGTGACAGTTCAGGCTGGAGTTTTCTTTTTACTTTTTCTTTGTCATTATGGTGGCATATGTCAGCACAGCAGGGGAACAGCACCAAGGTTGAAAACAGTGACACGAAGGAAGAATAGTTTTTGGTTCTTACACAGGCTGAGCATTTGGGTGAAATGGTTTACTAGTTTCTGCTGTAGTCCCCTGCTGTGGTATTTTTTTTTTACTGAAAAACAGCACAAGCTTGAATAATACCAAGGACATGTCATGACTGTATATTGTGTTTTACTTAGAAGGAATGATGATTGTGTACAATGACCAGTATTTTGAAATTCGGTTATACTTCATCACTGTGTATTTTCTTCTGCATCTCACAGGAGGTGCTGGTATGGCTGACGTCCCTGCAGAAGGAGATGGGAGGAGAGGTGTCAGATGAGAGGATGAGGGATTACATCTGGAACACACTCAAGTCTGGAAGGGTAAAAAAAACAAAAAACACCGTGATCGGTTCTAGATTTTTTTTGTTTGTTTGTTTTGCACTCACATTCAGGAAAAACCTGGCTTGTATGGCTGGCTTTTTTTAAATAAGAGATTTTCACAGTATGATAACTGTCTCAGACATTACACAGTTATGTACCAGCTACAACGACACTCAAAGGAAGGAAAACGGGGTCTTTTTTTTTTTTATTGCAAGTGACTATGACAGTTGGATTGCAGAGTGAGATCGACCTGAAAGAATAAACAGGATTATAAACATGATTTTTTTTAAAATAGCAGATAACATGTTGTATAACTAAATCTTGTCAGTTTTTATCTTAGCACCAGAAGCAGAGGAAGTATTCATATTCTTGACTTCATTAAAAGTTCTACTATCACAGTGTAAAAGTACTGTCTTACAAAGTCCTGCATTGAAATGTCAAGTATTATCACAAAAATGTACTTCAAGTATTAAAAGTAGAAGTAGGCTACTCAGTGCAGCAAAATGTTATAACCTTCTATATATTCTATGCTGTTATACTATTATATACTGTATCATTACATTAACAGCCACATGCAGTGGTGTAAAAGCAGGATTTGACTGCTGTAGTTGGTTGAGGTGGAGCTCTGCTGAACTAATTGATATCCAAATGAAACAGTTTACTTTGCTCATTAGGGATTTAACTGCTGATCATTCATTCATTCATTCATTCATTTTCTACCGCTTAGTCCCTGAACGGGGTCACGGGGGGTGGGGGCCGGAGCCAATCCCGGCCGGCAATCGGGCGAAGGCGGGGTACACCCTGGACAGGTCGCCAATCCATCGCAGGACTGATCGATTGACTGATTTGTAAAAACTTGTGACAGCAGTGAGAAATGCTGTCACATTGCTCTAAACAATTTCAAAGTAGTTGCTAAGGGTGCACGACTGTGCACCCAGACTGACACACACACACACACACACACACACACCTATGTGAGCTGGGTAAATTTGTGTGTTTCTGGGGCCAGATCGGGATCAGCACGAGTCCCTTTGTAAGTCAGAGATTAGTGAACGAACAATGTGGAAAATGACTTCGATAGCACATTTTATGACCGATGTTTATACACTTACATGTTTTATCATTTGGGATTAAAGTAATAAAAGGGACACACTTTGATTTGCGTGACGTGATGGTGTTTGATTTTGGTTGAAGTAATCCTGTGCTGCTGATTTTAATATCTCTTGGTGGATGGGGTTTGGGGTCCACCCTGGCCAATCTGTCACAGGGCTGACACATACAAACAGACAACCATTCACACTGACAGTCACACATACAGACAATTTGCACGGCTTTGGACTGTGGGAGGGAGCCAGGGTACCTGGGGAGAACCCACGCTGGCACAGGGAGATCGTCCAGAGTCCACACAGAAAGGCCCCCATTAACCACGAAGTTCAAATCCTGAACCTTCTTGCTGCGAGATGATGGTGCTAACAACTGCACCACTTACAATAAGAACAAATAGTTAAAAAAAAAAGACAAAAGTGCTAAATAGTAAATGCAAGTAGTGTATAACTATAAAACTAAACATGTAACTGTAAGTGTTACACAGAGTATGAGTAGTAGGATCTTGGCATGGCTGAAAAGTTGAGGAATATTTGCTCTCTCACTTGGCTGTAGGTTGTACCAGGTTATGGCCATGCTGTCCTGAGGAAGACTGACCCACGCTACACCTGCCAGCGTGAATTTGCCCTCAAGCACCTTCCCAACGACCCCATGTTCAAGTTGGTTGCCCAGCTTTACAAGACTGTGCCCAATGTGCTCCTGGAGCAGGGCAAGGCCAAGAACCCCTGGCCCAATGTGGACGCTCACAGCGGAGTGCTGCTGCAGGTGAGCTGCATGTAGTGGCTTTTAATTGCCTCCGCCAAGAAGGTTCTGATTTTACTGCCATTTGTTGGTTTGTGAATTCATTTTGAATACATTTTTGGCGAGGTAGGGTATCCATCAGAACAGTGCATTAGATTTCGGTGATGATCTAGATCCAGGATTTATTTATTTTTTCAAGGATTCTTCATCATTGTGAGATTTCAATATTTATGCTTCTCACTCCACATAATGCCCAGAATGCTTGGACAGAAACTGTATGATAACACCCACATATGATCTACCTCACCAGTGCCTGATCTGGATCCAAGTAATAATCTGGATGTGCTAGTTGTACATTTGTCATCTCCTGGTAGCAGGTACAGATCCTGACATGCTTTCTTTTCCCTGTCTGCAGTATTATGGAATGACTGAAATGAATTACTACACTGTGCTGTTCGGTGTGTCCCGAGCCCTCGGCGTGCTGGCTCAGCTGGTGTGGAGTAGAGCCCTGGGCTTCCCTTTGGAGCGCCCCAAGTCCATGAGCACAGATGGACTGATGGCACTGGTGGGAGCTAAATCAGGCTGAAGAACCACCTGAAAGGAGCTGGGGGTTAGGGTAAAGGGTGGGAGGAGGTGGAAACATCACAAGGCAGACATACGTTGACCCCCTGTCATTTTCAACCCCAGGGATTCCATGGGATTCGAAGAGACAGTACACTTTTAATGCCATTTCACAAAAGAAGGGCCTTTTAAATTGTCACAGCATTAGTGTTTAAGTGTGTTTAGTTAACCATTGACAGGGTTTCCGTTTTGTTCCCTTATTTGGAACATGTGAGGTCAAAATTTCAAACATCCCAGTAGGTTCACACTGTTGCACTGTAGGTCAGCTGGCATCCCTAGGATTTTCTGCTGCGCCTGCATGTTTGTCATTGAGCACTGGGTCTAGGAAGTGGCATTCTAAGGGAATTATGGGAGTGAATTACAATTCTTTTGTATTTGTTCCAAGATCTAAAGTTAAATCCCTGACTTTACCTTTGTTGCTTTTGGCTAATGGAGTAATTTGTTTTGAGGATATCCCCAGGCAAAATACTGTATTTTATTTTATTTTTTTTTATAAACAGAGACTTTCAGCTTCATTTCTTCTGTCCAGTGTCCTCGGATGTCATTCCACCCAGTCTATCCAGTGTGTTTCACTCCCATTTACTCTATGAACACTCCAGTTTAAGAATAAAGGTCCTCATTGGTAACATTAAACTGTTCATGATCAAATTCAGAAGCATGCAAATCAGTTGAGATACTGCCCCTTTTCTCCATCTTCTAGTTTTCTTTTTAATCATGAATCATATTACCTCTATGATCAAAATAACTTGTGTAAAAAGTATTTTCCTTTTTGTTTTTTGGCTAAAAATCTATTTTTAATGGGTCTCTGCTCAAATGATCTAATCAAAAATAATTTATAATAACAGTGATAAAGATTTGAGCAGATCATTGTAATTGGCAGCCTGTAGTAAATCGTTAAGAGCAAGCTTGAATGAAAAGTGGGACGGGGGACTTTGTATTAAAGTCCTGTCTTATGGGAGTCTATGTTTGTTACTTTATCCCCAAAAGAGAGCGCTTTGAACATCAAATACTCCAAAATTGAGCACTTGCTTAATTGGATTTCCTGACTTGTAGCAGCAAAACACCCAGGTTGAGTTTTTTTTTTTTTTTTTATGTATAAAACTAATCCTTGGGTTCTCATTTTGTGGTTTTATTTATACTTTGTGTACATAGGTATATATATGTATAGCTTGAATGTATGAGCTTGATCATTAACCACAACGATTACCACAGTGTAGTAATGTTCGGTACCACTGGTAACTGTGAAATTTTGACAACGATCAAAAAGAGAAGCTGCAGCCCATCTTGTATATACAGTTTCTTGCCCAGCTCTGTGGGCTTACCGGTGCTGTTTTTCAGGTGTCTCACTTCAATGTTTCAAGCTTGCTCTTAAGTTCTGGGTCTGTCAACACTCCATTTTTTTTTTTTTTTGGTCAAACTGCTCTTGCTTTGTTAGTAGTTCACTTGGATTTTTCAATCTCTTAGCTTTGAGACCATGTTCCTCCTTTAGAGTTAGTAATGTTTTTTTGTTTTTATTGTGGTGTTCTTCCATGTGCCAGGTTGTTCAAGGGATAAGATTATTTTGATCATAGAGTATAAAGGTTGTACATGATAAGTGGGACGTGGTGGATTCATCAGAGAAACACTTGGAGATACGGCTAGATGGGTGAAATGGGCAAGAAATGCTTGAAAAGCAAACATGGGGAAGCCTCAACAAAAATAAAAAAAATAAAGGTTTTTATTAACTGTTCTTCAGTCTCGTTTCTTCATCATTTAAAAGAGCGTGTAAAATAATGCATGACATAGGTCTTTGTCCCAGAAGACGTGTTGGCATGTCCAGTAGAAAAGTCCAGGTGTAAACAAAGCAGAGTTGCTTTGGGTTCTGAGTCCTATTGTTTTGCTGGCTGATTTACTGTACTAGCTTTAGAGCCACTGTTATTATTAGTGACCCCCTAATGATAACTACGTTAAAATGTTTGTGGAAAAAAGGTCTTACTGTAAAGGCACAGGATGCATCTGTCAATGACAAACACAGCTGAGTATACAACCAGTGAAGAGTGCAGTCAGGGACGTGTGGTCTCTGGCTTTAAGCACGTTCCTGTCGTATCTGTGACATATTACAACCTGAAAAAACACGTGGTCTCTAATGAGCCAATTTCTTACTCTAGTAAAGACAAGTGACTCGAGGTTTACAGAGACAGGGCTTAAATTTGAATATGTGCATCAGTCTGTGGCAACACTGTTCTTGTGAGTCCTGACTTGTATAATAAATCCAAGAAAGGTGTCCAAATGCCCACCTCTGTGCTGTTATTAATAACTGGCCCACATACCATCACCCCACTCTGGTTTCTTCCTGGTCAGCTACATCCGCCCTCCGTGCACTCTGCCCACACCCCTCTGCTGTGTGCACTCTGCGGTGGCAAAGTCAGGCAGTACTTAAGAATGCCAACCCCATGTCTTACTTTGTCATAAAACTTATTCTAAAAAGGCACAAGGTTTAATTTAAATGTATAATCAACCATAGAGTAAAGGCTGCATATGTGTACAACAGTCACTGAAGAACATGTACACAAGCTGATTCTTCTGAACAATTTGCACAAGCAATAATAAAATAGATTGAGATTTAGTGTTACCTATGTATCTGCCTTATATTGTGTGGCATTCATGTGGACAGCGAAGTAAGAATTTCAATGTATAGAGAAACACGTTTCCTCACTGTGCTTATGACAATCAACACTTGACCTTGAACGTTTTTATTTAAATACAGCTTTCAAAAACACCCAAAGTGTTTACAAAGATGCATTTCAGTTTGAAACAAAAAAAGTGGTTTGACTGAAAAATAATGGAAATATTTTCTACCATACCTCAAGTCAGTGATAGTAATAGACAGACGGGTGACAAATGAAAGGAAAGCCCAACAAAGTGTTGCAGTGAGGTGCTGGGCCACCACGTGCCACCAACACGGCTTCAGTGCTCCTCGGTATACAGACATTCCAAGTCTCTGAACTCCACTGGAGGGATGAGCCCCGTTCTTCCTACTGATGTTCCCTCGTGGTGTTTTGATGATGGTGGTGGAGACGCCGTCTGACACATCGCTCCGACATCTCTCATAGGTGTTTAACTGGGTTAAGATGATGCTGTGGCCTTCACAGTCACATGACTCACATCATGTGCATCCTCATCAAACCATTCAGTGACCCCTCATGTCCTATGGATGGGGCTCTGTCATCCTGGGAGAGACCGCTCAGGTGTTTCCTTTAGTTTGTCACTAGCTCTGTGATCATGGGCCATACACCAGCAGTTTGACAGTTTATGTGGAGATATACAGCAGCGATCTCCAACCACACCCCCCGAGACAACTTTGAAACCAAAAACCAGCTTTGAAAATACTGAACCACAGGTCAGTTTTACTGGAGTGTGAGACTTTTGGACAAAGCTGAACAGCCTATGATGATGAAGGTCACACACTTCTTCACTTCCTCCACTGACCTTTGGTAACATGAACCGATCAGTCACCTCTAAACTATGGCAAATCCAATCCATCAACTATATTAGCCCTTTGTCGTGGAATAATGTAATGGGTTACAAAAACAGAAAACCCTACAAACCTGTCTGCCTCATTGCAAGTTACATCCACATGTCATAATGTGTATAAATAAAAACTAAAACATGAATCCCACAGACAATGATAAATGATGGAGAATGTTTTATTCTACGGTTCACCAGTGTATTTTACACGGAGACCAGTAACATCCTCCTGGTGGCCTTCACAAAACGCCTAACAGGGATGCTCCTACATTTGATTTGGATTTGATTTGATTTGATTTATTCTTTCAAGCATATAAAACAGTTGATATAACAACACACATTTTTACACACAATCCAATATCAATTTGCTTATACCTGGTACATGCTTGAATGTTTGTTACAAATTGCTAGTTTTCAGCAAAGTAATCAACAGAATTATTTTCACCCATGATTTTCACCCCAGACTTTGGCACAGAATGTCAAACTCAGTAACTGCTTACTTTAGACATCTGGTATGTACATGATTTGAAGCAGGACTAAATGTTGTCTGGGTGTTCTGTTATGACATTACAAATGCCATCTTTAATTTCTAGTCTTTAACATTTTGTGTGTGTAAAATCAAACTAATCATCAACCACAAACGTTCCTAAGCTCTGTGACATTTTTGTTGTAACCCCATCCATCGTATTTCACAGCACTCTCCAGCCTGTCCACACTTTTGTTCAGGTGCTCTTGTCTGTGCAAAGTTAACCTGCCTCCGCCTCTATTAATTACCTAACACTTACTAATAGTGCTGGGCTGTAAATTAAGGCATTAAAACTGGTGGACTCACTGTCTCACAGCACAACAAAAGCCAGATTCAAGATAATCTTCCAAAGTCAATTGAGGCCACAGTTAATGGAACATGGCACATTCAATTTGAACCCCAATATAACAATAAAAATTTGCATACAACTACTGATAAATTAAAAAGTATTAAATGAATGATCATTTTCTACCAAGGTCGCAACTATATATTTAAACTTCCTCTGAAATCAAAGGAAATAGTAAAAGTAAAGGCAAACAGTAGACTAATACAGCAGAACCAGCAGACTGAAGTGCTCAAGAAAAGGTAAAAAGTGGTCACTCCGACTTGATAATGTGCCAGTGTGGCATAGCACCCTCAGGTCAGAGTGAACTGTAAGCCTGGATCAGTGGGCCTCAGTGCCTTTTATAAAACAAAACATTTTCAAGTCTGTTTAGGTCAGTGTCACTGTTCTGTTCATTTAAATAAGACTCTCTGGCATTGGTAATAAGATGTTGCAAGGATTTACTGTTTTGTTTACATAAATACAGCTTGTAACAGCCACAGACCAAGAGCACTGGCAGGTTCCTTCATGGACAGACTTAACATAAGGAGGAGGTAGAGAACCAAGAGTCTGCTGAGGCTGGACTAACAAGAATTAATGATAATCCAGCATGTTGTGGACCAGAGCTGGAAGTCTAACATCTTCAGGAGCCGCTATGATGTCTATGTAGTGGTGGATACTTGAAGCAGGGGGGCAGTTAAGCATCATCATGCAGGGCTGAGTGGACTAAGGTAATAAAGGTGGGCATGGTTTAAGGCCAAGACAAGGGCACGCTGCTGCTGAGATCACGTCTGACGCACCTCGTGAAACATCAGCTCCCGTGGGATAGGAGTCTCTGGGCCATAGAGCATACCGGCTTGCTTCTCAAACGCAGCAACATTCCGCTTTACAACCTGATCGAAGAACATGGTGGCTAAATGGGAGTGCAGCAAAGATCGGAATTCAAAGGATACCTGTTAAAGACACAAATCGGCTTTTCAGTCTATGCCAGAGAGAGTAGATGAGCTATAAAATATGGCAACAACAAAAGGTGGATACAAAACTCTGAACAGGAATAGTTCAACATTTTGGAAGATCCATACCACTGATTGTAAATCTGAAGCTACAGCCCCCAGGCAGTTAGCTTAGCTTAGTGTAAAGAGTGAAAACAGTGGGGAGGGACTAGCCTGGCTCTGTCCAGAGGTAACAGACATTATGTGGGGAACTATTTCTCACTAGGTGCAGTGACGTCCTGGTGTCTTGTAATCTGTGGTGTGAGCGAAGGCTCCAGGAAGTCACTGTTTCCAGCCCTGCACATAACCACCTGTAAAACCGCAACCTGTTTCTACACTTTGTTTTTGGATGCTTTTAAACAAACACATTAAAGTATTATTCTGGCTAATTTTGTGACCTTTGGACATAGCCAGGTTAGCTGGTTTCCCCTATTCCCAATCTAAACTATCTGCTGCCTGTAGCTTCACAATTACTATACGGGCCTGACAGTGTATCATTCTCCTCTCAGCACGAAAGCAAATAAACATTCTCCACAGAGTGTCAAACTATTCCTTTGATCCAGGTAATAACAAAAGATGCACCAAGAGAGGCAAAGGGTCTGATACAAAGAAATCAGGAAGCAAGCTGCAGCCTACTCACAGAGAAGTCTACCGTGCAGCTGCGAGGGTACCCAGGAAGGCCTGGACTAAAGCGCCATATTGTCTCAAGGTGATTGAACAGCTTCCCATCTGTACACACTGCCTAGAATCACCCAGAAGGGAAATTCTGTGATTAGAAACAGGCATTTGGAGAAATGGGTGTCTGCTGACATCACAAACACTATTCACTTTAACTAAAATGTACAGTGGTGTCCCAGCATGTGCTCAGGTAGTTCCTGACATTTAAATGTTTATATGTCAGCAATATCAAATGCATTTGGCAGCTACAATATCAGACATATCATCATTCAGATGACTGACTTACTTTGACGAGATGAGGCCGGACACTACTGATCATAGACGTGTACCTCTCCACTACTGGAGGGAAACCCACTTCAAGCTGGGCTTTGGAGTGGCCTGCTCTTTTCATGATGGTCTGGGACTTCTTACACCAGGGCACAAAGTGCTTGTACTCGTCAACATTTGCCACCACATCATACATTTCCTGCATAGAATACCTATGACAGCAAGTACTGCAGAGTTATAAAAAAAAAATTGGGGGAAAAAACTCAAATACAGCAATTACTGGCTGGCATTGGAAAATTACCCCAGTATCCGACGCTCTGAGTACTGCTGCCTTTTGTTGGCAAGGCTGATGAAGTTTCTGTTTTGTGGAACATTTGTCATTGTGTCCCAGTCTTGAAGGCAAAGCACACTGGGAGTTCTTGTCATCAAAATGCCACATGATGACAAGTGTCTAGAAGATAAAAGAAAACATCTTGTGAGCTACATTCTGGAAACCTAGCACAGTCCCAGCACAGATAAAAAAAAAACAAAAAACCAGCCCACTACATTCCAGTTACCATCTACTACAGTCAGTCAGTACACATAGTAGAGTGGAAGCTGTGCTGGTATTTTCTGAATTGGACCTCAAGTGAAGAACACCCCGTCGATGTTTTTGCACCAGGAGTGTGTTTTACAGTAGGTGACTTTTAGAAGCTGGGCAAAGGTGTTAGGACTACTTGTTGACGTGTGATTAGAAAAACACAGCATTACCTACTAGAGACAAGCCGGGGCAATACTACCTTAAAACAGTAACAATATTGCAGGATAGGTCTGCAATAACAACATGTATGAGAAACCATCTGTTTGGGTTTTGGACTTCAAATATTATATGGCACAGCCCTAACGCAGGACAGACTCAGACAATACAACAATAT